TCACAAAGCAAAAGAAATTGTTGTTTAGGAAAATAATTGTGTATGCTGACTGAATGTTATCGAGAAATGTCGAAATTAATCACAAACTACCTGTTTCGTTAGTAATGACTACTAGAACTGTTTGCATTGCCATCTAACATTTGCGGGCGGAAACTAAGTTAAGGTCCTAATATTTGAAATGTGAGTTTTTAATGGGACATTGACACGATGATTTGTTTCATCGAGAAACGCTTCTCCATTTCTGAAAGCCGATACACATGTAAGAATGATTATCGCTTCAATAATTCTCCGTCACGCTGTTGTATGTATATTTGCGTGCGAAAGATAATAAAAAGTAGTGGTTAGCGATGGACAATATTTTGAATAGTCAATTTGTAACCATTTTTTCACAATAAAACCGTATTTTTACCAAAAAATCCCTTAAAATTAATGGATACTCCCAATAACACAGAACTATTGAAGCTATATTGGAGTATACCCTTATGAAAAAAAACCCTCAAATTTTGAAGGTTAACCCTTAAATTTGTGGGTTGACCATCAAATTTGAAGGTTAACCACAAAAGTTAGATATTAACCCTGAAAATTTGGAGGTAGATCCTCAAATTTTCAAGATAAATTTTCAAGATTTGGTCTCAACTCCCAAATTTTTGTATTGACTCTCAATGAGTAGTGTTAAACATGAAACTTTCAGGATAGCCCGCAAATGATTCAGTGTCAACACCCAAATTTCGGTGTTGACTAGAGATGCCTGATTCTTAATCGATTCGATTATTTCCCTAACAAATTTAAAGAAAAAGGGTTGTTCGTGCTGCTTGCATGTTTCATACTTTTCGCTTTTAAAAAGAGATGGACGCCTAATTAGACGCTAGGAAGAAACAATCGAGTTAGTTATCTTGCTTTTGCTTCTTCCAAACATTCTAATATACCTTTGTCTGGTTTTAAATACGAAAAGTGCGAAGAATGCAAACAACACGAAGCCTATTTTTGGGGAAAGAATCGAATCGATTCAGAATCGGGCATTTCTAGTGTTGACTCTCAATGAGTAGTGTTAAACCTGAAACTTTCAGGGTAAACCTCAAACGATTCGGTGTCAAACCCTAAGTTTTAATATTCCCAATTTTAAGTGTTAACATTCAATCTTTCAGATCAGACTCCAAATGTTTCGGTATCAATCGATAAGTTTTTATGTTAACCTCGAACGGTAAATAACTAAAATAAATAAATCTAAATAAATCCCAGAGTTTTATTCGCACGAATAAAAGCAATAGTCATCTCTATATGCTGGCCAGACGTAAGATCGAATAATAATCAATTTATATGAAAATCATTTGTACTAAAAAAATTTATGTTAGTCAAATTTAGTACTGTGACGTGGCAACTTCGGAAACGCCAGTCCCAAAAAAACCGTACCGATTTGGTGTGATTGCTTCTCGCGTATCGCGTCGCGAACGGCTTTTCGTGAATATTTCCGGTTACCGCGTCCAGTCGTATTTTTGTTTGTGAGAATCTCTAGGACGAATATTGGAAGTGATTTTTGCGAGCGGAGCAGATGCGAAGGTCATCGCGTCCCTAACTTTGTGCCCCTCGGCTTCTTCTGCTGACCACCAGAACCAACGGAGCGGAGGACATCGAGGGATGAAGGAGCATCGCCCGACAGCTCATCGCTCTCAATAAGGTGAATCGCTCTCGACAAATTATCGCTAGAAAATTCACGAAGTCCCGATCGTTCAGCGATACCGAATATTATAACGCTTAGAATACTCCGTATCGAGCACACAGTTAGTTACAGTTAGTTACAGTTACCGCAATTAGACGCTAGCCTATCAGCTGTGTTTACTTTTAGCAGACGCAGCCGTCTTGAGGATCCCAGCCAGAAAAAAACTAGAGCGCCGGAGGAAGATCGCGAGTCGATCCACAACGGCAACAGTGTCTCGAGACAGGAAATATCTCGAGACTCAAATACCGAAAATTGCCGATTCCCGAATGTCGAGCACCGCAGGGCGAGGGGAGAAACGACGGAAGATGATCCGCGAGGATACGCGATCCTTCGGGAGCCGACGGATCGCCAGCTTTACTGCGACCGTCGCCGCGATCGGACAAAATCCAGTCGATTAGCGAGAAAATTACCGTGCGTACCAAAAGTGAGAGAGAGAGAAAGAGAGAGACAGAGAGAGTGAGAAAGCGAGCAAGGAGTGACAGGGGGAGAGAGAGAGAGAAGACGAGCGACCAAGGAGGACACCGCCACCGCCGACGTCCGTCGCCAGAAAAGCCGCCGATTTTTGTAAGGTCGTCCATCTGCTCCATAATTGTCCGTATTTTGTCGCGTTCGCATTATTGTTTCGTTTATCGTTGTCTCGTCCGCGGAGCGGCCGCGCGTGTCTTAAGGCTCACCCGAGGAGATCGTCTTCGGGTTTTTCATTGCAAACTTATTATCGTATCGCGATTAATGACTATCTTTGTGAACTTTACCGCGCTTCTTACCGGGATGTGCGAGAGTCCTGCGAATAAACCAATTACTTTTGAACACGCTTGGAGTCATTTTCGCCCTCCCTGAACCCATCCCGTCTCTGACTTTAAAATCCGAGGAGCTACCGGTCCCGACGGTTCCCGGGACACGCGAATTTTGTGTAAAGTATCACGTCTCGCGTTTATCAAGGTGGTGCGGTTTTTCCGCACCTGGCGCCCAACTACCGTTTTTAGTTTTGTGGCATGAACCGGAGCCGACGGCAATTTGCCGACGCGACGGACAGGCGACTGTCTGCCGTCGCTCGCGAATAAACCACGCGAACATTGTCGCAGTACATATGAATCATATATGCTGTGCGCAAATGTTAACCTAGATAGCACAGAGAACTCAAAAAGAATTCAAAAATAATTCAGTCGTGTATCACAATTCTAAGTTTATTTTTATGCAAAAGGAATTCTTCAATGTTCAGTTCAGCGAAAAGAATTCTTTTTGCATCTAAAAATAAATTCAGAATTGGTGACATACGACTGAATTCTTTTTGAATTATCTGTGCTATCTGGGAAGATAATAACGTACTTGTTTTACATAATTGATGAAATAACATATTAATGAGTAACTAAAAAATGTTTTTTAAAAATATATTGAAATAATACATATTATATATCCTCACTTACATTCAGACTATCATTTTCGGTTTTACTATCCTATACAGCACAGAAGCTTGCAGCAATATCGCTACATCGTTGCAACTTTGCATATTGTAATGCAATGTTGCAGAGACATTGTAGTGACATTAATTTGAAATATTACTTTAGCAATATTATAGCAATATTTAAAAATTGTTGCAAATATAATATAATATTTTTTACTTATTTACTAATTATTTATGTTACCCAATAAGCAAGCAATATTTAAAAAAATATTTAAAAAAAATTTGAAGACATTTTTAAAACGTTAAAACTAATAGGACAAATTCTCTTTTTTCATTAAAATAACGTTTTTTAACGTTCGAAACATTGTTTTGTTTTCTAATATTTAATAAACATTAATTTTAACTTTTAAAAATCGTTTTTCTAAATGTTAACATTTGACATTCAAAAAGTATTTTCTAAGTGTTAAAATAAACATATATTATATATTAAAATTTAAAACATTTTTCCAAAAGTCAAAAAACATTAAAAAACATCTTTTTAATGAAAAAAAGGGAACTTATTCCATTATTTTTAACGTTTTAAAAATGTTTCTTCAAATGTTTTTTTAATTGTAATGTATTTTAATCTCAACACCTCAATAGGTAAACATATTTTACATAAATATTTTATGCAAATATCTCTAACTTCTCTTTTATTATATGAAATATTTTAAGTACAAATAGTTTATTTTGTGATTGTACTAAATAATATTATAAGAAAACAATAATATATTATTATAATACTTTGGTTGCATATAGGGATAATAAGAAGCACTAATATCAGTTGAAGCAAGTATCAGCTGAAGAAACAGCGCAGCAGCCTACCCTTACAGAAATAGCATACTAAGAAATACTGAAAAATTATTAGTGATTAAGTATTATCAGTAATTCAGTAATTTTTTGGCCAGTACTTAATTTTTGGTGAGTACTGATAATAAAATCACTGTTAAATATTGATAGTAATCAAATACTGAGAATTATTGTGCGAAGGTGAAAAACGAGAAAATCATAATATTAAAAAAAAAATATTTATATATTCCTAATTTTCTCATGTCTCATAAACTACTAGATATCGAAGATTATCAAAAATACTTCAAAACTTTCGTGAATATTCCCACGATAATTTCGATCCTAAGCGATATACCACTGGTCATCCATCCATGTCCCGACTCCGTTAACGTGTTGCTTAAACCTGACGATCGAACGGCACGCGACAATTCCCGATGACTCAAATGATATTCTTACGATTCATGCTTTTACAGCAGCGGTGTCCACACAGCACACCAGGCGTGCTAGCACGCCGGCAGCACACCGGCGTATCATCGGCGTGCAGCGGCCTTGACAACGAAGGTAGGGGAATACTATGTCTGTCTCTTCCTGACATTCTCCCATCTCTGTCTTTCTCTCACTCCGTGTCGCACTTTGTATCGGCGGACCGGTTTTCATCACGAGCTTTAAAACTTACAAAGTCAAAGCTTCGCTCTCAAATATCCGATGATAATTTACGAAACAGCCTGAGGTTGATCGCCTCTCAAACGATTGTCCCTGACATTGAACGAATTGTCAATATGAAAGCAAAGTAAAACTGAAACGAAAACAAAATATGTACAAATTGGCAATAAACGGATTTGTGCTTGTTTTGTATCTTTTTTCTGTTATTTCTATTCCATTTTATAAACCCTTATCAAAGTATTTCTGTCCGGTTTCATTTTAATCGAGTATTTTTAAATAAACGGAGAGACGCGCGAACACACTAATATAGCACCTTTAACGATTCGCCCGCCGAATGGACAGACGGTTTGTTTATGTTTACGTTGATCATGCTGCTCCATTTGACGCGCCCCGAGGAGGCGCAGCGCAGCGTAGAACTATTTGAGCGCCTGCAGTTCAAGCTGTCAGCTGGCCAGCCGCACCGCCAAGAAAAGGCAACGCCAGGTCAGCCAGCGTGCACGTGCGTGCGACGCAGTCGGGCCAGCACGCTTGGCGTACTCCGACTGGACACCGCTGTTTTACAGGGTGTCTCATTTTAATCGATCGCCTCTCTTGAACAGTGCATTTTAGGGAAATATATTTCAGATGAAAGTTTTGGGATTTCGAGGGGGACATAAGATGATATTATTGGTTTGACCTCGAGTGGCGTCGTCAAGGTCAGGACAAGGTCACTTTGAATTTTTTAAATGGAACCCCCCATTACATATTCTTATAGCATACCTCGAGAGCTTTCCAAAACACTACAATAAAATATTTTTTCATTAAGTATCTCTCGAGTTAAAAGGCTTTAAAGTTACAATATTGTTGTCATTAGCATTGGTACCCAAGATGTTCGCCCAACGGCTAAAACCTTTTGAATGTTGTTCAGGGCCATGACCTTGACAACATTTATCAAGGTCAAGGATTTTTGGAGGCTGTTCCTAATATTTTCATTTCTTCAAATTTTACAGTGAAAACAAAAATAATAATTTAAAATCATGGAGTAACATGTGGAGTCCGATTGACTATAAAGGATCATATAAAGATCACAATGTTTCGTCAGGGCCACAAAGAAACACACGTGTGAAATCCCATTAATAAATTTCTTTAATAATCATACCTCGTGTTATTCACTTGTCCGCATTGTTACTAATCCAACCGCAGGGCGGAGACTCGCGACGAATTCAATACTTTCAGTGTTTTCACAAGTTTTTCTATTGTCCTGTAATTATAGCTGATTACCCGCCTAACGAAATCGTGGATATGATCAGAATTTTAAGTGAGGCCAGGAATAATTATACGACAGCTGAAAGGATTTATGCCGAAACATTTGCGGATAGACATCATCCTAATAGGACGGTAATTAAAAGACTATGTGAAAAGGCAGTAATTAAAAGACTATGTGAAAGGGCGGTAATTAAAAGACTATGTGAAAGGGCACAACAGGACTCTCTCAAACGAATATGTTGAAAATCTGGCCCTAATGAAGCCTCGTCACTAACTGTTCTTGGTATCGTTTTTTTTTTAAATCCACAGGTATCAACGCAACAAATAGAAAATGAACAAGACATACCTAAATCAACAGCCAATCGTGTGCTCAAGATTTACAAGTTCCATCGATACCATATTCAATCTAATCCAGCAATTGGAAGAGGGGGATTTCGAACGTCGTTTACGTTTTTGTAATTAGGCTCGAGATCGAATCCGAGAAAATCCTCGATTTTTTTCAGAAGTTCTTTTTTCAGATAAAGCTATATTCGGTAACAGAAGTGGTGTTAATAAACACAACTGTCATTATCATTCAGCCGTTAGTCCACATTGACAAAGAAGCCAAGAGTTTCAGAGGCAGTAGTCTATTAACGTTTAGGCAGGCATTCTGGGAGATGTTATTGTTGATCCATATTTCTTTGAAGAAAACCTCACTGCGGCCAATTACTTAACATTTCTCAGAAATGACCTGTTTAACCTTTTGAGACATGTCGAATAATCGATGGCAATAATCGAATGTGCGTAATCGAATGTGGATTCAACAAGACGGAGCACCAGCTCATAGATATTGAGCAGTTAAAGAATATTTAAACGAGTTTCCCTAATAGATGGATTAGTATGGGAAGTCGGATTCAAGAATGACCTGCAAGATTGCCAGACTTAACGCCTCTACATTTTTATCTTTGGTGTTATATCAAAGATCATGTTTATTCCGAGGAACCTACGACTGAAGAGAATATGAAAAACCGTACCAGAGAAGCATGCAGAAATATTAACGCAGATGTCCTTCGAAAAGTTGTGGCATCGATTTTCGGCATCGATTGGACCTGTGCATATAAGTGAGAGGCTGGGTTTTCGAACATTTGAAGTGATTAAACACAAGCATAGATCTTTATTGACTGGAAAGTGTCCAGACATTGCCTTTACCGGCTGGGGTATCCCCGGTCTTGCCTTGATTGGCTGGATCGTGCCCAGACATTGTCGTGACTAGCTGAGTCATTTCCTGGTCTCGCCTTAGGTGGCTGGATCAGATACGATCTTACTTTAGGTGCCTGAGTCAGATATGATCTCGCCTTAGGTTGCTGGGTCAGATACGATCTTGCTTTAGGTGGCTGGGTCAGATACGATCTTGCCTTAGGTAGCTGGATTATCAATGGTCTTGTTTTAAATTAATAAATCACCGATCAACGACTTTACCTCTAGTTTACGAGCTATTATTTTGACACAAAGAACATTGTGACCTTCATATGACTTTTTGGGATTAATCGAGTCGCCTATGTTACCTCATGATTTTAAATTATTATTTTTGTTTTCACTGAAAAATTGAAGAAATGAAAATATTAGGAACAACCTCCAATCACCTTGACCTTGATAAATGTTGTCAAGATCATGGCCCTGAACAACATTGAAAAGGTTTTAGCCGTTGGTCGAACATCTTGGATACCAATGCTAAGGGCAACAATATTGTAACTTTAAAGCCTTTTAACTCGAGAGATACTTTATGAAAATATATTTTATTGTAGTGTTTTGGAAAGTTCTCGAGGTATGCTATAAGAATATGTAATGGGGGGTTCCATTTAAAAAATTCAAAGTGACCTTGTCCTGACTTTGACGACGCCACTCGAGGTTAAACCAATGATATCATCTTATGTTCCCCTCGAAATCCCAAAACTTTAATCTAAAACATTTTTCCCTAAAATGCACTGTTCAAGAGATATTTGAGGTGATCGATTAAAATGGGACACCCTGTATATACATTCATGCACATACAAGTATAACTGGAGCTATTAACATGATAGTTTTTAAATTTTTTATGTGTAAGTGTTATGTGTATACGAATGTTCGTTTGCTCATGCAAGAGAAAAATACAAACTGAAAAAAGGGAAAAGTGTTCTATAGGAGAATCCTATAGGTATTCAAAATATAGAAACTGCTGAAGCAATGCAAAATTTTAGAGAACTCGGTGATAAATTAGCTGAAAAAATTAATGTACTTGAAATGATAGGAAAGTTGAATACCGACCAAAAAAGAGTATTTGATAAACTAATTAATATTGTGAGGTCGGATAATAAATTATTACGATTATATATTAGTGGAGAACCCTTATAGAAATATCATACTAAGAATCATTGATAATTACTTATTTTCAGTATTAAAAATACTGAATAATAAGTAATTATCAATGATTCTTAGTATGATATTTCTATAAGGGAAGGTGGTATCAGAAAAAGTTTTTAATAAAAACAATTAAATGTTGAATAAAACAGAATCTTAATAAAGATACTGCTATAACAGTACCTTCTATTAATATTTATTAATAGTATAGCAGCGTTTAATATTGATGGTCTAACAATTCATAAATTGTTTCAATTACCCGTTGAACCCGTTGAACATAGTCATACTTCAAAATATAAACGATTTTCTGATCATATGTTGAAAGTTTTAAGAACAGATTTGAAAGATGTTGTTCGTTTCATGATTGATGAAATATCAATGATACCTAGTTTAAGTTTAATATATATACATCTTTGGTTATTTGAAATATTTGATACTAGTGATTGTAATGATGGTTGGTTTGAACAAAAATACATTCTTCTATTTGGAGATTTACTTCATTTACCACCTGTGCACGATGATTATATTTTCGTACAATTATCAAATCCAAAAATTAATAAATATCTTGGTTCTTCCTTTATAAAAATATCATACTAAGAATCATTGATAATTACTTATTATCCAGTATTTTTAATACTGAAAATAAGTAATTATCAATGATTCTTAGTATGATATTTCTATAAGAGTTTGAGTATTGTTAATTTGTGGACTACATTATTTGATTATGACGAATTAACAATCAATATGCGTCAACAAGAAGATACATCCCTTATAGAAATATCATACTAAGAATCATTGATAATTACTTATTATCCAGTATTTTTAATACTGAAAATAAGTAATTATCAATGATTCTTAGTATGATATTTCTATAAGGGATCTTATCGTGATTTATTGTGCAAAATTCGAGTTTGTTTATTGATAAAATCTGATTCCAACATACTTGAAAATAGAAAACATTAAAAATAGATAACATTCAAAGGTACTTTATTTGAGTACAGATTAAATAAATTATGTAACTTTATTAATGATTTACTGCCGGATACTGTGTGTTTGTTGTCTACTTGTCATATGTGCGATGTTCTGAATGATGCAATTTTAAATCGTATACCTTCGAGAGAAATATTATTAATTGCTGAAGATAGTATTGAATGTATATCTTATATAAAAAAAAAGTATTAAAGTTATTGTCAAATAATGATGATAATAATTCTAGAACAGCTAGTCTTTCAAAGAAAATTATCATTAAAGTTGGAGTAAAAATTATGATACGTCGTAATATTGATGCGAGTTTGCATTTTGTAAATAGTACAATTGCTACAGTTATTTCAATTGTAGAAGATACGTCGTCAAATTATATAGAAAAGATAAAAATTCTTCGTTAGGTATGAAATATTTCATTGAAAGAATAAGTGTTAAGTTTGAAGTGATGGATAGAGCATATGTTATTAGA